GTCGCAATTCCTGATTATATTTATGTGCTGTTTCCGGGATCTTTACAGAAGACTGGTCGGAAAACTGAGTCAGAACTCGTGGGAACGACTTCTGTGCTCCAAAAAATTGTCGAACTTTAGCATACAGAGCCATTTAATTCACGGTTGCTTATTTGCTTTAAAAATTCGACCAACGAGATGTACCCTATAAGTATATGTAGGACCTCAACAAATATGTCGCACAATAATTTGAGAAAAAAGGTGAGTTCAAATCTGCTAATCATTAAAAGAAATTTACATGATCTGCATCAGTTATTTCACTCCCTGATCCATAAAAGCAATTTCTTAGAGCACTTGATAAATATGATAGAGAAACAATTTTTATGTTTAAGCATAGTTATAAATGTATCAAACATAAATATATATCCTTAAAGTAAAAAAAATCAAGATGAAAGATTTTTATTGTAATGTTCCAAAGACAATAACTGGTTTAGTTTTAATCGCATGACACATATTTTAAATTTGTTATTTTTTCGTTCACAAGGCAAAATATACATTTTGACTGCAGGGTTGTAATATCGTACTCAGATAGCACAACCATGGAAATTAAACTTCACCAATCATTAACAACCAAAATGCTACTTTCTCAGTGAAAATATTATATGCAGAAATTTCTGGAAATGTTTTCAATATTTATCCGGAATGAAAAGTTTAACAAGCAAAATTATCTTCAACTATCTTTATTCGGTACTACCTCTTAAACGAAGATGAACACTATCTCTTAATATTAATATTAAGCACAAAGAGAAAAAAATACATGAAATTAAAGAAATTGAATAAACTCCAATAACAAGAAAAAATTTTTCAAAGAATCACTTTTTGACAATTTGTACTACATCTTCGTGGTGGAGCTTATGGTGTATACCCACCCGCTGCGGTGAAAACTTTGCGCTAGTACCCCAAACAATTGCATAGCGAAATGTAGAAGAAAGACTGCGATGTAAGGCGTGACAAGCATGTTCAATTGTTGCACCACGTCGTAGTATTAAGCCATCGTCTGGTCCTAAAACATATTTATTTTTAACCATTTATTTTGGAAAAAATTTCACCAATTTACTTTGAAATGTTATGTATAATAATCAATAAAAGGCATGCAGTCTGCGATAACGAGATAATAGCCCAAAATAAAATGTTTCTACACTCTAGCTGAGTTTCAGAAACCTCCTAAACTGAGGAATTTTATCTTCATGAAACAACCTAAGTCAGGTGCATTCCCCGGCTTTTTGGTGTATACCCTGATGAGTGCCAAATATTCCCAAATTTTTTCCACCATGTAATCCATATTTAGCTTCATTTCGCAACTAATCACAATTGAATCTTTGAGACGAGCTAACCTGCAAAATGGCAATGAAGCAATGAGTTACGTAAGTTCCATTTTTCTTAAGGTAATTGTCCTACATATTGTAAATGTCAAAAAATTTTTCCTTCCATATAAAACACTGAAATGTGCTTGAGACATATCAACTTTAATTTTGATCCTCTCCACCTATTTTAATTTTAATCGAATGCTGCGATTGGGTAATCAGGATATTTTTTGAAAAATCAAAAACTGCTCTTAATTCGTATTCAAATCACAAAAAATTTCATCACCTGTCAACTTCTTCCATGCTTATTTGGTCGATTTTGTTGTATACATAAAGACATGGCATATACACACGGTTTCCTTGTATAACATCAATCAATTCATCTACTCTAAGGCAGTAACATTATTATTAATCTTTAATCCTTGTTCAGTAAAAATCAACTTCATTAGCTTTGGAAAATTTTCATTCTGACTACACTGTTCCCGTATTTCGCTCAAACTGATATGTAAAAATTTCAAGATCACTGGATATGCTGTAAAGCAACAGTTAAGGGAATAAGAGAAAAGTCTTTTCAGTTACGAGTAAATCAGTAAGTACCGATACAACTCTCGATCGAAAATGTATGATCGATTTATTGGAGCTGTGATTTTATTTATACTTGATATTTCTATTTTTTATCAAATTTGAATTAAAACTTACGTGCAGTCAGCCCTGAAAACGATGTCAGCATTGAAAATTTTGTACTCGTGCAATACAGTCATTACCAATTTTTCATTGCAATGTGTTAAAGGAACCGTATGCGTAAAATTCACTCCTCCAATTTTCTTCTGCTTGAGATAGATTAATGGTGGCTTCTTATTCAAGCGAATACCTACTGATTCCAATTCTCTTGAAAGAAGAGTTTTCTGAAGCGTTTGTAATATTTTTTTTTAAAAAGTTATGGATAAAGAGTAGAATCTTATTTTTCAGCGTTTTATTAATGAAAACTAGATCATTTGTATAAGCCCCAGTGTTTTCTTAACAATGGCTGGTCAGCAACAAAGAAATTTCTCTCACCCTAAGCACCAAAATCATTCCTCCAATTTTCTATCATCGAAAAGAAACAAAAGTCGCTAATAAGTTCTAATAAATATAGACATTGCATATATATTTCATTTTTTAGTATAAGCTGTTACATTTTCCTCACGAAGTACTTTTATTCAGAAATTTATGATTTTACAAAGCCTAACCTGCATTTCACCTTTCGCAGCATCCAGCATCATCAGAATAATATCAGCTGTTCTTGCCACAGCTATAACTTGTCTTCCTCGACCTATACGATTAATAGTTATCATATGTTGTCTAAATGCTTTCAGAGATGATTCTTTCTTTGAACTTTGGTCATATAAGAACAAAAGTATTTTAAAAAAAAAAAGAACAAAAACACATTTTACCTTTACCCTGAGCAGCTCCTTCAATAATACCGGGTAAATCAAGCAGCTGTATATTAGCTCCTTCATACTTGATAACACCAGGTATACATGTAAGTGTGGTAAACTCATATGAAGCTGCAACACTTTCGGTTAAAGTAAGTGATGATAACAATGTCGATTTGCCGACTGAAGGAAAGCCGACCTGAAATTGAAATTACTCACGAGATGCTTTTCGATTTACCAATTTTTTAATATATCGAAAATCCGACCAAATGGGCAAGCATTGACTCTTTAATTAATTAATGAACTTAAAAAAGCAGGTAGCAACAAGCATATACACTGGAAAACTTCTCAAAAATTTTCCAAGTTCATTAGAACTTCAGAAACTTATAAATCTGTGAGACAGCTGACCATAGCTACTCGAGCATCGCCACTCTTCATCACATCGAAGCCATCACCCTTACTGGTACCACCCTTTGTAGTTGGTTCTAATAATTGCTGTCTATACTTCGCAAGTTTTGCTTTCAGAAGACCCAAATGATACTCAGTAGCCTTATTCTTTTGCGTCCTACTGATTTCATGTTCAATTTCTTGGATCTTTTCAACAATACCCATATCTAACACCTGAAGAATAACATCTATACACGACGCACTTAAATCTTTTTCAAGTTCCCGATCTTGAGAGCAATGACGAAATTGTGGAAAGAATGTCTCTCGCATACCGAAATGGCATAATTATTTAGAAGCCTACTTCCACCTTGAAATACCAAAGGATCTTCTGTCTTCGTGGTACGCCAATGGTCTTACCCTTCCTCCGAAAACATCCTGACTGAGCCATATCCCCTCACTATTGGCAGCCGCTCAAAATGAATTGCTATCCGAAATTATAATTGAAGATCCTTCTCCTGCTAAAATTGCGACAACACTATTCGCTGCATTTCTATTCCGCCAGCGAATTTATCTCTTATAAAGCTGCTAAAGAACTGTCATCGGAGCAACGAAACCATAACAAGCAATTAGTTTTTAGGAAAATTTTACGAATTTATTTCGAGATCAAACATTAAACACAATCTCTTGGCTTTTTATATCACAGTCATAAGTGAGAATACCACTTCCATACAAAGTAGCTATTCTTTTGCTCTAAATTAATTTCGAGTCAACAAAAGTCATAACACTGAAATAGAAACCATAAGTGCAATGTTAGTGCATGATGTCTAATGATACTGTGCTGTGGCTTCACTTTATAATACTAACGCTTCATCTGCAATTTCGTATTCTTCCCTTCCTCCCCATTCCTTAGACTAATGATAATCGAATCTTCAATGACTTATCCGACTGATTACAGACTTTCATCACAAAGAGTGCTTCGTTATCTCAAATGAATTATTTGGAAAAGAATTACTGTAGGGTGGCTAAGAACAAACAGCGTAGCATGATTTTGATTCATAACGGAACTGAAACAGCGGCTTATCAAGGTCTTATATATGTTCACATTCACAAGATTCACTAATAAACATATCATAACAAAGCGAAAAAAAATCTACATTTCGACAATACAACATACTCTCTGGACTACAAGCAATGGAAATGAGAAGAAATACATTTATGTCATACCTTCGTAAATCTGAAAAATTTATCCTTCAAATTTTTCAACTTCCACATCATCCTCGTTTTCACTCTTACCGCTTTTGAACAATTCACCTAGTGAAGGAAGTGGAGATAATGCGCTGGAGGGTAAATCAGCTAAATCAGGCAATGAATTAAAGTGCTCCTTTACCTGAAAAAAATTTCAGCCATTTATCGCGCATAAAAATTTTTTTTTCATATTATTTTTCATATTATTTATTTTTCGGTGGTTTCCGACAAGTAGATAAATGCGTTAGCGTTGTTTAGTTATGACAAAATTTTTGAATTGAAGTCATTCTGATTTTAAAATCAACAAATGGAGACCAAGATCACTAACACTTCTTAGTTCAGTTTAATATAATAGACGCTGAGTTCTGACTCGAACATATCTGAACCAAATATTTTGTCAAGTATAACCGCTACATTTTGTAAAATTAAAATATTAATTTCTGTTCTATCAAAAAAATGATAAAAACAAACCGATGTCTTTTCCTGTTCTAACTTTTCTACTTTTTCCCGCACAGAACGTAACATCTCATCGTTTCTTACAGCACTGGCTTTCAAGAAACCAAAATATTCAGGTAGCAGCTGTTGCAAAGACCGCCTATCCTCCATTTCCGTCGCAAGTCTAAATGCATATGCGAAAAAAACATTTATTAAGTTACTGCCTGCATATAAAAACTGTTAAATGAATTATTATCTGAATATTCGAAAAAAAAAATCACCGTTTACAATAATCTTTAACCACAGGTTCAGCCTCTTTGATTTTTTTCAACAATTCCGCTGCTTGGGATTCATTTCTGATAGGTTTTAAAAGAGCAGGATTTGCGATCGTCTCTGGGAATGATGCAATCATTTGGCTAAAAAAATGTTAGAATCTGCAAATGAATATTCAAATATTTATGTGCGAGCAAAAAATTCCCAATAGCCTCTACAGTATTTCATAGTATAGCCGGAATGCTCCACACAATTTCAACCGCAGTGAGAAAAAAATATGTCGAACAGGAAACAAAAGAACCAGTACTTCGACGAGAAAATTTAAGTTATTAAGCTCATAAATAAGTCAATAGAAAAGCTTAAATACAGGATCAATTTTTACCGTGTTTCGGCATCCGCTGATGGTGGGTCTTCCAATTTCTTCAACAATGCTATTACGTCTTCTGTTACTCGAGTCATGACTTTAACGTCAAAATTCTCACCGTCCATTTTGCTCTGCAAGAATTGAGATCTAGCGAAGAAGCATTCTGACTTTCAAACTAACTTAACCATTTGAAAATAAAGGAAAACTATAACAAACGCAAGATTAACTGGCAATTAGAAATTATATATTTTAAAAAGTAAACTGACCTTTTTCGGCTCCGGGGAATCAGTGTCAATGGTAGGAGTTGATAAATGCGGTGAATCCACTGCCTTTCCAACGTTCGGTGGTGTAGTGGGTGTTTTTTGAGTGCTTTCAGTACTTAAAATTGTCCCACCTAACTCGATATTGAACTCAACAAGTCTTATTCCAGTCAGCGATGATGCTACGGCATTCATTAATCGATCTACCTTCACATCCGAATATATTTGGCGCTCACGAAAAACTCTCAAAATTTTTTTCATTGCCACTACTGCATCCGCATCCGCATGGACACTCACATGCCTGCAAAGCAATTTCGTCAAATGAATAAATTTTTACTTTATCCCACAAAGACGAAACGCAAGAAATATGGTGCAATCTACTGAGTTATTGCATTTATCTAATCAATACATCGACTCGTGCAAATTTAAAATTCTTTACTTGAGTAATTGAAAAAGAAACCGCTGAAGACCTGATTAACACTTGCAATTTTGATTACTGTCATCCCAATCAAATGAACACCACAGTGAATTAATAGCAATTGAAGATCAAAACCTACAAGGAACATACCTAAAAGCTGGTTCTAAATTTTCATAAAACATTCCCATGAAATGTGGGCAATGCTTCCGACTGTTTTGTATAACGTCGTTTGCAAGATAGAGCAGATTGATTAAACGAACCGGTTTCGTTTCTTTTTTGATTTCCTGAACATGATAATACAGCATGCTTTTAACCAAAAGCATTCTTTCTGTACAAAGCTGCATCAGTTGTTTCCACCACCATTTAATGGAGAATAAGTACAGCTTCAAGTTCTAATCCCCTTATTCCATCTTCACATTCCAAAGTTCACGTCTTAGTATACTGAAGAATTTTTTTTCATTCCCCACAGCAATGAGTAACAAAATTATCAATCACCGCATCAATAAAATGAGAAAGCCAAAACTTTTGACTTCCATGCTATGTCCCAAAATCATGAAAAAGTATATGTAGAATTCGAAAGTCATAGAAATAACATGATCTTAGATCAAATTCATTGCAGAGCAAGTCCCCATAAAACAAAATAATTCGAAAATTTGCTAACAATTGAAAGTAATTACCTGAAGCCACACTTTGACAATTGTTTCCGCATGACTCTTTTGATGATGTAACAACCACATAGACATCATCTGCACCGACTGCTGCGTGGTATTCAACGTCTGCAGCCGTCTCGACATTGCTGCTTCAGAGAATCCGGCCATGAAGGACACTTAAAAATAAGCAAATTAATAATATTTGCAACAAGCACATCTGCGCATCCCGATAGGATATGTTACCTTGAAGAACATGCTCTCCTATCTTATCCATAGATTAGCGAAATAGCTCTCTATTGCTTTTCAACTGTTTCTCTACTGACACCAATTATCTGCAAGCTTCATTTCAAAATTTAGAAATCAATCTTCATTTCCTTTCAAATGCGTTCTCTGTTTCCTGCATTATCGACAATATTACTCACCTCTCACCCTTCAATTCACCTTACTTCCCTACCCCGCGTCCGATATCTTCAAATTCCTACAATAAATCTTTGCATTCCCCTCCCCTGTTTCATGGATTAGACCTTACAATCAGCAGTAAGACATTAAAATCTGCCTCACACAGACTTTAATGGTCTATAAGACGGTTCGTTAGAGTTTGTCAAAGCTATTATTTGACAATAATCAGTGAGGCTTGTTAATACTTGTTACTGAAACAATATGACGTTGCTTTGTCTCCACTGACAAAGTTTTGTATACAATTTCTAGTTTGCTTATTACAATAGGAGAGGTTCTGGAAAGGAAAAGCTTAATCTGAAGTTCTTGACTTAAAAAAGTTATTTATGCCAAATTGTGAATTATGTGAAAGGTTTTGAGATAGGAATCGAAATGCAAATGTATTTTCTATGAGTTATTGTTTTTAATAGGTTGAAATAACGCACAAAAACTCATTTCTATAATTCTGCACAAAAACTTACGGTTCTGTCCGGGACAAACTCTTACAGTGATGTTCTCCTCACTGTGGTCAGCACTGTTCACTGAGGTATTGCGCCAACTTGCTTTTGCATGAAGTTAGAATTGAATGCTCTGCTTTATTGATTGTTAATGTCGGTGAGTTATATATGATTAGAAGCCAATAAATCGACTAAAAGCAGACGTTGAAAATTCTGATAGCCCAACTTTTAGAGTCAAATATAAAATGTTTTGTTAGTTGACGTCAATAGCTGGAGTTTCTTGTAATGAGTCTTCCATTTCATTACCATGCAATGGCATTCTGTGATGAATTGAGCTACCGGATAGGTCAGTGATGAAGAGCTCCGATTTTCTGTTTTCTTCCAAGTCCGATACAAGATCTATTTTATAAATGTACTATATTTAACCATCGGAATGTTATTGCTCATCACGTACGGCTCAGCAAACTGTTCAAGAGCGAGAAAACTTGCAATCACAAAAGATGGTACTTTTTACTGCAATTCTCTATCATATTTGATGAGTTTTCAAAAAGAGGAAATTAAACTCTCTGCAGGTTAGAAAATTAAACATGAACGAACTTATAAGAAATTGTATTAATGTCGGGGTGTGCAATTCTGGCGTAATATTTAAGACGTGTAGTATCTTATTTAATCAGTTGAAATGCAGCAACACCCGACCAGTCAAAGAAAGCAGTTGTCGAACATTCTGTACGCATAAGTTTTCACAATGATTTGCCGAAAAGTGAAGGAAGTAGCCAATGTTCGCCCAAACCTGCAGTCGAACATCATGCTAGAAATCTATTTATGAGTCCTGATCGGACACAGTCGGGGTAGGCATAACTTCTTATAATGTAGAGGATGCTACCATTAATCCTTCCCGAAAAGTAGGTTTCCGAATTCCTGGAAATCGGTCTTTTGCATCGGTATTATAGGCTTGATGATAACTATGATAGGAATGAGAAAATGACCGTGTTAACAGAGGACTCGTCTTGTTGAAAAGAAGGGGCAAAAAACAACGTTTTCTATAACTTGGATACGTGACCGTGTATTATCGTCTTTATTACTTCTCCAAATCATTTCGAAAAATCTTCGTTTACTTAACAACATATTAGTGGTAGTCGTATTTTGGAAATTGAATCAGTAATAAATGATACGCTTTCAGAGCAATTTGCTCGAAGGACATAGCACCAACCAAACATACGCCAAAATTATATCTTAAAGCAAAAACTGTTGTCGGAAAATCTTTGGTAATTTTTATTTCAATCTCTGAATTTAACGAAAGCATTTTGAAGATCGTTTAAATAAATGAGCTTTAATTAATTATCCATTTCTTTCTAAGCGAAACATTTGTTCCCGCATTCTTCAGAAACTTCCAGATCTTCTGGAAATACTCTATTTAATTTCCGTTTTGGCAATCATCATATGAAGATCAAAGAATTTCGCTAGTTCACTTCATATTTTACTTGGTTGTGGTCACATTTTAAAGCATTTTAATTATTTTTTTTATTTACATGAACTGATTAAGATATCCGACAAAGTGATCACAGAAAATAAAACCCATATAAACGAACTATCTTTTGGAAATGAGAAATTGACTGATGATAAAACGCAAATATCTGCACCATCGTCGGATTTTACGCAGTTGACTGCAGTATCAGAAGGGAATAGCAAGCAATCATCAAAGACATTAACAGAGTCAGCAGTTAATGAAAGCAAAAAACAAGCGCAATCAAAAAATGCACAGGAATATGATGAAGCTATCACACAAAATATTTCAATAAACCAGGTATTAAAAGCTGCACAAAATAAGAAAAAGCAACACTCGGAAGTGGAGGAATCGGAAAGTGTCAGGGACAGTATTGTTTCTCTCTCCAAGTAATCCGTCATATTTCCTATGCGATTGATACAATGAAAGTAAAAATTTTTTCTGGAAAAATTAAATTTAAAAAAGTATGGTCACATATTTATTCTCAATCCATTTGTAGATTGGTACTTGGTATTAAATAAAAAATGTTACTTCTGAAGGATATTGTTGATGATGCGAATGAAATAAAAATAAATTTAGCTGTATGATATGAGAGAATGTAAATGTCTTTCATTATTATATCCTTCCTATATCTTCATTTATACAAAATATCATTGAAGGATTGCGAATGAGAAAATATATCAAATGAATAGGATTAAAATACACATTATTTTCTCCTTGCCAAAAATATTTGATAACTTTATTCGAAAATTGACGAAACATACAATAATGATGAGAAATCACTACTACTAAAGTGATTAATAACGACATGGTGAATGTGGAATCATTTCTTATCACTTGTGAATTACTTAAGATGCTGTCACTGATTATTGTTAAAGGTAGAATTGTACTATACAATTCATTTTTTTTGGAGTGGCAGTGACATTCGCAGCAATTGTCTTAGGAGAATACGTCCTAAAATAATGAAAGTAATACACAAGTCAAACTAATTCCTCGCTATTTAACTCAAGGATCTCTTGATTACTCTTCCATTGACTATGGATAATCATTTCCTCAATTGTCACCTATCATCAATGGTACTACTGGATATCATAACGATGTAATTGATGGTGTGATATAGATGATTTGTCTATTCACTTATCCATTGTGGCATAGAAATGGAATTAAAATATTATTTAGTATTAAAAATAAAAAATGATCGTTCAAATTGTAATACGAAGTTTCTTGCAAAATATGCAAAGCGAAAGAGTAAATAAATGAGAGGATAAAAAGCTTGGGAATTTGCAGCTTTTCCAAGCAATTACCGCCAGCTTTGTCTTTTTGTCAATGTGAATTAGAATGAGCCAAGGAAGTTTGTTGTTTGTTGATCGTGTTGAAATGGTTAATTGCTAATTCCATTTTAAACCATTTAATTCCATTGAAAAGAGCTGTGTGGTTGAGAAGGGTAAGAATTAATTAAGTGATAATTCATCACATTTAGACATTGCAGCATTTATTAAAATTTACTTCAGTGCGAAATACTCCAGCAATACAAATTATTTTTATTATTAAGAAATATCCAATATAAATTATTTCAGTTTCCGACAATGTCATCACTGTAAATAACTTCGTCGTATTGATTTCTCATTGCCAGCTTTACTAATTGATTTGTCGTAGTATACACAATTGCTTTAATACAAGTATTTCATTGTGATTTCAATTTCTTTATGATTAATCGTAATTTTTTGAAATTGATAAGTTGTATATAAACGATGTTTTTTAGTGATAAAAGAAATTCAAAATTAAGGAAAGCTATAAGAATATTACTCATCACCACCAAGAATATTTCATCACAAAGATCAGAACTCAATTATTCTGGCGTGATAATATTGAAGCATAGCATGTTTGCAGCTCAAAGGTAATCGATATAAAATTAGAAGCTGGCAGTATTAGCAAAAAAAGAGCGCATAGTTTATGGATTAAAATAAATGCGTAACTGTTATCAAAAATGTTCGTTGAAAAATTTATTGCTGAACTATATTTATTGTGAAGATTATTATTTACACTTCTTACGGTATACTAAATATCCAAGTGATCCTAATGTCTTTCAAATTACCTCTGAAGAGTTGAAGTATTTGGCCATCACTGAGGAGATTAGACTTTTGAAGTTACGCTTAAACAACAACAAATGGTTAGTCCTTGACTTAATGAATGAATGACTGAATTGAACTGAATTGAGTAAAAAGTGTTTTAAAAAAAGATTTAAATGCCATATATTTTAACATATATTTATTTTGATAAACAATTCTTTGATAAAATTTGTCTTTGATTGCTCTGACACGTGGCAAACAGACAATTTTAAACGATAATAATAGTAATGAAATGGATTATGAAACGATTTAATTTATGAATAAAAGAAGTAACAATTATAATTAGGAAATTAAACGTATATTGGCTTCATAGATTTTTCAAAGTTCATTTGTCATTTGGATTCTTCTACAGAATAGATACTCTTTAATTTGCAAGCATTCCCAATTATGACAATAGCAATTAATCATTTCAATAAATAGCAATTAATAGCAATTAATAGTAAATAGTAGCAAATAGTTAATAGCATAATTAATTAATAGCAAATAGCAATTAATCATTTCCAATTAGCATTTCCAATTATGCCTGTACTTCCAATCAATTCATTTAATATTTTACGAAAGCTGGCTGCTATACATAAGCCTTAGGACTATTGCTTGAAAATTTCTTTTTTGCATTATTTCATATTTTTTTATAGTTTTTATTTTTCAAACTGGAAATTTAGATATATAAAGGTCAAAAAGTTGATGCAAAAAAAAAGTTAATATTAAATAATATGAATAAGTTTAAAGGTCAAAAAAAGATGAAAAGATAATAACATAGAAATTCACGGAATTGCAACATTGGAAATCATTTTGGTCATTTGGTCATTTCATCAAATATCACAATATTGTCAGAATTTTTACAACATATCTCTATGATGCATTAAAACAATTGAAAGTTATTGTTATTGGAAAGACCTTTCATTATCATTGGTCATTGGTCAATTCACAGACTGTTCTCCTTTTTTTCTATCTAAAATTTTGTAAAATGGAAGAGAAGTGGAGAGGAGAAGAAATGCTTACCACTTGTTAACAGCTCTCTGTGAAAAATATGTTTCGAAAAAAGACATCTACTGCTGAGAGCAATGCCATTCAATGTCAATGTCTAACCAAAAATATCGTCCGTACACTTTCACCTTTCACTCTTTACCCTTAACCCTTCACTTCAGCATTATTTATATGTTTGACGCAAATCAAATTGGAGCTTAAAATTAGATTCCATAGGTTAAAAAAATACACTTTTGGCCATTTAACTTTAATGCCATCGATATTGTCATCCCTTTTGTTATTCGAAAATTAGAAAATCGCAAAGTTTAAGTATGATATATCACTTTTCTGCTATCTTTCTCTTGGCTCTTTTCAAATTGATAAATACATAAAGCTTTAAAGTAGCTGATAATTTACATATCTTTTTTTCATTCTGATTTTGTTCATTTCAAAATGATCAGTTGCCATCACTAATCAATAATAAAACATATAAAGATTTTAGGTCAAATGAAAATTTCCAAAGTTTATTATTAATTAGTGTTGCACAACCCTTGTTTTGAATTCAGGTTAAGGTTGCACAAATCAGGCATATCTTCATTCTCCTACATTGACCTTTTCTCACGTCATCAATTGAAATGGGGACAGATGATGTCATTTGCGACATTGTCGCTCCAAAAATTTGACAATAGCAATTCCTCAATATTTTCTTTACTCTATGCAAATTATTCCCGATGTTTAATAGTATTTAAGAGCATATGATATATACATGAATAGATATGATAGATAGTACATCAATTTGCTTATTAAATGTGGCAACAAGCGGTTGTGACATGCATAGTTATCTTATTCAAAGCAAGCAATCATTTAATACAATCAGCTGATTATAATGCCAAAGGTTTGAATGATCGATCTCTGATTGATAACACCACGATTGATAAATAGTAAATTGATTGATTGGAAGATGTCGAAGAAAAACCAGTTAACAGTTTTAGGAAGTGTTCCGGGAAGCAATCAATGATACAATTTTAACTGATTTATTATTTTTACTTTATTAATGCCTAATTTTCGGGATCCTCACGGATAAATATTAGTGTTTCTGTTACAATAATGCAAGGCAGAAACAAATTATCAGGGCTTTATTTATGAACTTATAATTTATTAATTTAAGATAATCAAAAACAAATTAAGCTGAAAAAGTACTGCTCAATGGAATTGAAAGTGATTTCTGAGTTTTTCTCGTACAGTTCTAGAAATTTCCTATACTTCTAAAATAAATTGAAAACAAAACTTGGAGAGAGAAAATCTGTTTGTCAGGAAATGCTGGATCAGGAAATATTGAACCTATAGTGTGATTGCATGACGAATTTAGCCTAAATTCTAAATTTCAATCATTCAATATTTCTACTTTCATTATTGCCGATAGCAAATTCAAAAAACATGCATAAACTCGTTTGGAATAAGAAAAAATGGGTATGTTAAGTAGTAAGCCATATTTATGGCTAATACAACTTAATTCTTGGCCTCTTTCTACGTTTAGCATCAAAATATGCCTTTTATGAGAGATTCCTTGGAGAGGAAGTAATATTTTACATATTGGTACTGCAATTAATACTGCAAGCATCCTAACTAATGATAACTTTAAACGAGTCGTATCTTTGTTTTTTAATTACTTATTATTTCTTTTTAATGATTTAATCGATTGCGATTTCGACAACTTTTACACCAATCAAATTATGCATTATTGAACGAAGTAAAATTATTTCAAATTAAAACAATAATTTAATCTATCGTAGTAAATAATGCTGTACTACAGCAATACACAATTTAGCAGTATTTTAAAAGATAGCTAATACATTTTTTTTAATTCAACTTATTATCATTACTTTAACAATATTTTCGTAAAAACTTTATGACAATATCATTTCATCCATTTAACTTTGATACTCTCTTCGAAGTCAACAACAATAGTATGATACAACGATACAAGCTGTCTTCAGGTAACGATGAAACGTTTTCCAATCGGACAGAAAGCAAATCTTCCACCAATCTTACAAATAGTAGAAATACGACAATAATGGTATGCAATTTTTAAATTTCTCATGAAACTTTTTCAAAAAAAGATTGAATTAAAAAAGAGTCAAATGTGCTTCAAATGAATAGGTCGAAGTTTAAAGGGTGAAGGAATATGCAATAATGGATCATTTAGGGAATATGACTTGTCAGGAAACTTTTCCAATATGTTTAATAAAATGAAATTGACATCATGTGGAGAACAAGTAATTCTGGACGTTCACTTCAAGCTCATTTTGAATTAATTCGTTAATTACACATATGTCTCCAATAAATTTCTGCTTTCATAAATATTGAATTTAAAAAGAAAAGAATATTTTAGATGATAACGGATACTTCCTCAATTACTCCAAGTAAGTTGCAATTTAATTAGAGTTTTTAAATTACGGATGACTTACTTGATATTTACCTTTTAGATGGACATGTAATTGTAACTTGCAATCATTGCTCTATGGATGAAGTATCGTAATATCATGGAACATTATTGCTAACATATATATTAAAACAATAGCTGATATTTTAAAAATTTGATTGATTGTATTAAAATTACTAAATAAAATATGATTAGGAAATTCGATCGGAAAATATGTTAAATTAATAACACATATTAGTAAATCTTAACAAATATGAAATCACTAAATTTAGCTACAATTTTGAAATTCATAACCTGACAGCAGATAGGAAACGAATTTATAATTAAGCAAATTTAACTTTTCAGATACTATTGTTTTATTGTTATTATTAAAATATTAAAAATTTATAGTGGGAACAATTTTAATAATAATGAGTGCTACAACTATATTAGCAATAACTGTGACATATACAATGGCCATTTATATCACCGAGAAGAGATTATTTACGGAAAGACAAATGGCTATGCAAATGACTCCAACGGATAAATAATTAATTCCATTTAATTTGTATTTTCTTTTTAATTTTTAATAAACATTTTTGTTTTCAATCTTTCGAATTTGCAATATAAGATATGAGAGGACTTACTTCAAGACTGATCGATAATTAGTTTCAATTACAAATAATTAATTATTTACTTAGTTTACATTAACTATTTGTGTTCTTCCATTTATTTCATCTACTCCAATTGAATCGCAAGAATTTTATTAATCCATAGTTTTAAGCCTTATTCAATTATTAATATCTCAATTCATCTATGATTTCAGCAACACTTTACTGATTAAATTTATTATTATCTGAAGAGAAAATATATCAGAATTTTTTAGTGACTATTTTAGAATCGTTAAAATTGTCCTCATTTCATTTCGTAAACATTTTCAAATTCAATGACACAAAAATTTCTCTATCAAATAATCATTCCATTTCTTTTCCAACAAAATCGTTTATATAATTGCTCTTTGCAAGAAGAAGTCATCCATTCTATCAGGCACTATTATAATTTAAAGAAATTGTTTGATTAATTGCTAACTTTCATACTTCCTTCCTATTATAGGCCTTTATTTAACATAATAATTATGGATAGAATATATTAATGCAAATTTCTGATACAAGAAAATTTCAACTTAAGGAATTAAGGGAATTTAAAGAATAAGTATAATGATAAGAGATAATAGTAATATTGTAATGAGAGATATATATGAACGGTTCATCATAGTTATCAAGTAATAAATCAAATTAGAATCATTTTGAAGATAATTTGATTTCCAATATTTCTTAAGCATGAATTTCGAATATGTGGCTCACTTATAATGCTAACATCGATGTGCCGCTTGAACACTAATCATAGTTTAGTGAAATCAAATAAACCGAACGATAATAAGCACTGTTAATAAAATGAATTGAAGTTATTTTTTTGGGATAAAAGTTCATATAACATGAAACAGATTATCGGAAGGTTTCCGTATCAGCAAATGATAAGAACGAAATTTATTGGAACTTCCATCTTAATTATTATCGTTTCTTTGTGGATTTATGGCTATCGAAAATTATGGAATCATTCTACGGAGCAAGAAATTTCCATGTTAAATTCGAATTTCCAACAGTCTTCTTCATCATTTGTAAAAAGATTAGAATTCCGTTATGCGTGGTACAGAATCAATCAGTATGGGAAGATTTTTCAACCATTCTTGTATTTGATCGAACCAACAGTATGTACAAGTATGTGTCAGAAAAGTTGAGATTCATTTTTCAGTAGAATAAAATAACTTTGAATGAATTGTCTGAAATTTGATAATTAATGAATTTCGTCTTACTCTCTTATATTTAATTATTAATGTTGAAACTGATTCTGAAACCACAGTTTCTTTGATTCCAAAATGCTTTGGAATACGTTTTTTTTCTAAAATTTGGTAAAAAACTTTGTAGTAAATGCCGGATTTCAGAAATTCTTCAGAAAAGGTTATTTTGAATTTATTCGAAATGACTTACCAATTTCATTCTTTCTTAATGAAAGATTACTTTTGCAAGATTCTGAAGGTATTATTTGATTCCTGTAATTTGTCAAAAGTGAACTGAGAAAATCTTATGAATGTTTTCGCTTACTAGAATTTGATTAATTAGAAGGAAAAATTGCAACACAAACAGAAGTGTATAATTGTTTATTTTTAGAAAAAAAACATGCAGCGATACTTTTGTACTTAGCAGTAACACCGGATAAGAACGGTTTATCGATCAGGAACTTGATCAGGAATACTTGGGCAATAGAAGCTAAACATAATGATATTGAGGTATATAATTTACCTGACATATATTATTAGTGAAAATTCTAGAACAAATAAGTATTTGTTGATATTAAACATCGAATAAGTTATTATGTTTATGAGGTGTAAGATAGCATGAAATGCTATAGAGGCCAAGAAGGTCACTCTGAAAAAATTTAAAATCAACAAATTAATTTAATTTACAATCTTAGAAATTGTTAAGTGATATACATAGATGGGAATCAATTTGCTTCCTTTAGTAACAATTCAAATTTTAATTGCTTATTTTTGAATTTTAATTAATTTGAAAAAATTTCAAATTATTTGAGGTAATCTTTTCCATTGGTATTAGAACAGAAGCAGAATTATACCAAATGAACAATACAGATGCTATCTTCAAGGAAAGCATACAATTTCATGATATCTTATTGACAAATTTTGTTGACAAGTATTGTAATTCTTTTTTTCGTAGAAATTTCATACATTACTTTTTATCAATGAATTACATTAATTATCCTTGAAAGAAAATTTTGGATAATTAATTGATTAATTTGGTAATCAAAAAATGGAGTAATTACATATATAAATCTTTCAGGTATTAAATATTAATCATCGATTAGTCAACAATCTCAATTGATTTAAATTAAAAACATTTCATCTGAGCGAATTTTCTCATAAGAATAAATTATCACTTATATTTATATTGTTTGGTATCATTCAGCTGTCAACAAAATCAATTACTTAATAATAATATCGTAGAGAAATATTATAAATTGTTTACTATCATTCTCATACGTATATCATGAAAGAACTTTAGATGGGAAAATTTATTGATGAAATGGTGGAGTAATAATTATTATCATAGTTCACGATGTTCACAGATTCCATTAATGGCTAGCATGGATTCAGATGCTATATTATTTGGTGAAAATTTGAAAAAATTACTTGATAATGCAAGTAATACTTTTGATGGATATTTAGGATGTACGGTGAATATTTTTTGACTAAATGATCCTTGTAAATGTTTGCTTTCACTGATTTTGTTTGTTTTTTAATCCGTAATTATTTTAGCTTATATGATATATTATATTGAAGATACTTTCGAAGCAACCTATTATACGTGATAGCTCTAATCGATATTATGTTAACGAATTACAATGGCCTGGAAAATTGCTTCCTGATTATTGTAGTGGAACGTTGATTATTGAAAATGTTCAGGTGAGCAATAATAATAATAATATATTTGGCATATATCATTGATTTCTGATCAATTCTTTGTTAATCTAATAAGGAATTTATTAAATAACAATAAGATAAATTAAATAGTAAGCCATGAATTGCAGACCTGTCAAAAAATTTCATATGTAATACCACAACTCGGTGTTCACTATATAACCGGATTTCGAATTTTTGATGTTCTTACCGGACTAGTTGCTCAAGTAAGTAATTTATTCTCTAATACAATTTTGTTACTACTGCAACTTATAGTTTATGATATCATAAATCATTCGATAATTTTTAACGTATTTAGGCAGCTGGACTGAAACTTCGAAATCTTCCTGGAATACAACCTTGGTTACCTGTCAATGATATTTGCCATTCGCTTATTTTTGTCATCCATCCAATAGAAGCGGAGAAATTAGCCGCTTTTTTCTACTACAGGTTGGTAAATTTGATGATTTTAGAAATAAATTTACAATTTTAAATTCAACATTTATAATTAAATTAATAACATTAGGTTAGTGTAGGAGAAATTGAATCTCTTAACTTCTTTAATTGATAATTACATCAAATATTTCATCCTCACTGGATATAATGAAATGAATTGATCACAGTTAACACTTTCATATTCTCTTTCATCACTTCCAATCTATTCTTACTTTAATTGATAAAATAAATAATTTCTCTTTCAAAATAATTTCATCTAATTTATATTTTTTTAAATTAATTTCATTACCGATAATAACAGTTCTCTGTTTTTTTTCTCTTCTCGAAATAGACAACAATGTTGCAATGAATACTCCGACAAATATCGCAAATGTCCATTCAATGGAACAATCAATTCCTTCAATTTTATATCATCGAATATCAGATAGTTTCATCAAATAATTATGTTTCATTTTCATTCATTAATAAAATCATTAAATTTATAGTAATTATGAAATTATCGATCGAATGAATTGTAAAAACAAAGAAAAAGTTGTTTAAACAAATATATATTATATATGAAATATAGTTTATAAAAATTTGAATTTTAAAAGAGAATATCAAATTTAAAAAATAAAAAGAAAGAAGGAAGGATTAAATGACAGCCAATTCTTTTTAAAAAACGAAAAATGAATGGAACAAAAGATCTTTGTTAGATGGATAAATGACAGATCCCAAAAGAAAAGTGTCATTTCAGAATGATTCAGCCATGTAAACATTGTTATTATACGCTTTTTGGCTTAATGTTCAAATGAAGAATACCCGAGAGACCTCAGAGAATCAATAGCTGGAAAATCTCTTTTTTTCTTAACATCCATTAATAGATATCCATTTTTTTCACGATTTTAAAAATAAAAAAAAAAGACATCTTATCTTCTACACCAAACTTCAACTGATTCTCTATTTTACTGATAGTGATTTAACAGATATATTCATCATCAATCCATAAATTGACTGATCGCTGAAATTTACAGCGATATGAAAAATGAGAGAGGTGGAAAAATCGTGTAAGCATTATTGAAATTTGAAACAATGAAATGTACCTAATAAATTAGTAGTAATTGCATAATTGTAAATAAATTAATGGAATGAAATTAATAGCTGATGTTATATATTTAGTCAAGAACTGCCGTTCTTATTAATATCATTCATCATCTCGTCGTATAATTCTTTCCACACAACATCCGGAACTTCGACACCATTTATTGGAGTGATAATCTTTACTGTAGTTTGATTGTAGAGCTATAATGATAAGTAAAAGAAGTAAATTGAAATTTTATAAACAAATCAACGACAATCAATCCTTATGAATATTTGATCAGTTATCAGAGAATAAAGTTATATCAATAGCAATTAACACTGTAATCTTATTGATAAGTATTTTATGTTTTTATTATGATTTAACAATGTAATGGCGTTAATTGTATAGACATCTCAAAAATATTAAATATTCACTATAGATAATCATATTGTAATAACTCTATTAAATCTCTTACTGATTATTTTAGATATTCGCATAGTATCATAGTAACCCCATTGCATCATACATCATTTCTCAGCAATGGTCAGCGCTGCTTAGAACCGTAATTTAAAACTATTACTCTTTCTCTCTCTTAAAATTTTGATATGTAATTTTGGAAAATATTACCTTTTCCTCCAATTCAATCATTTGTTTGAAAAAACCAACATTTGGACAAATAATGTTTCGTATATTTTGCACTTCTTTATAGGCATCTCGCAAGGTCATCTTCTCCACACACATTAAATATGCAACAACAAAAGTTGCTGACCTATAAACTGAATGCTAATATAATTTACTATGATAAAAAGTGATTATTTGTTGTGAAAGTACTTCAAAACTCTCAGACATGAATGGAACTATAAGAAATGTTAAAGAAATTTTTCATTCACAAAACTTATAGAAAAACCAACTTCTATATTACTTTATTATCGATTCATTAAATTCATAAGTTCTTGTAAAGGTATTCAATGCGAAATTCAAACCTGGATATACCCATGCCACAAAAAATGAGCACTTTACCGCCGTTTTTTTTTTGATCATCAATTTTGCGGAATACAATATGCCAATATGGAGTTAAATCTGTTTCCTCGTCATCTTCGATCGGAATATGAAGTACGGATAGATGTGGTGGCACAATCTGCCGAAGACCTGCTACACAATTGATGATACAGGTGAATCTGAATTTAAATCATTTGTATTGTTCAGCGATATGATATCATTGATTAAATGAAATTTCGTAATCTATTTTAGTCATTGCATCTCTCAATTCTAACTATAGTGAGCATCGCATCATTAATTACAGGTTATTTTATTAACGTAAACTACATGGAGCAAAAAATGCGCTTACGGTTTTAGAGATGTTGGCGTAAGTGGTGCCAAACCACTTAAATAGAGGAAAGGTCGAATTTTGGATATGTTTGAAGAATCTTGCGAGATCACTTTGGAAGTTGTCATTTGTATGAACTGATCGAAGGAGGAAAAAGTCTTCGCTAAATTGTCCAAAAGAAATAATAGCCAAGGTACAGTTGTTGTTAACAGGATGGAATGAGAAGATATTGTGGGTTGTTATGGCACTAATAGCCAATGTGTATCAGTGAAAAAGGAAAATATTGAAAAGGATGTAATTGGACAGAAAATAGGGCCAAGATTGTTGCTACAGAGAATAAATGCTCAAGCAAGCAATATATTTTAATGGATTTTCTGGCTGCCACAGGAAATAGGTCTCTTATTCACCTAACCCACGAAAGCCTTAAAAAAAAACCACTCTTTTGCAGCCAAAGAAGCAAAGTGGTAACAGTTAATAGCAAATGTTCATAGGTATTATTATTTCAGGCTTTTTATCCACCATGCATTTTTCAAAGTTAACTTATCTTTTTCTATTGTCGACACTTTTACTGTTATCCCTTATATCAGAAATGTTTCTTCCAAGTGCTGTAATCGCCTTGAAGTGTTACACGTGCTCTTACTCAATGCTTGAACAGACACCTGAAAGTGATTTTTTTTGCGCCAATGAATCATTAACGAAAATTAATCGCGATCTTACGACACGCACTTGCGCATCACGGGAAAAATTTTGCATTGTAAGTGTTTCATTTACTTTTCTTTTTTATATAGTATGTATTTTTTTCACATACATATATATGCTAGCGAATTTTTAGCTAGCTAGAATTATTCCGGGATGTCTAGCGAAGATATTGTTGTTGTTAGACCAATAAGTTAAATACTACACGATTTTATTTTATATTATTCACGGCAAGTTTCTATCGCAAATCTTTCAATTGTCTTAATCCGAATTGATTAGCAATGAGTGTAATTTTAAAATGATTATTCAGAAATGAAATATGGTTGATCCTTTTCGCTTATCCAATACACTATAGAATGATACTTATCATAAGATAAGTTAATCTTTGAAGAACACTGATAAGGTAGGAGTGAATAGAAACAGTGAAAAAAGTGATAAAAAATAACTGATCATACAAATAATTATAGACTACTGTGGAAACATCATTGAAAGCGTTTAGTGCAGTCACACGTACGTGTATTGATAAGTGCCGTGAATCTTGTAAATCAGATGGTTACGGAACAAATATGGTCCGATGTAGTAATTGTTGCGCCGATGATTTCTGCAACGGAAACTATTCCGTTCGTTACTATATGGAACTTATGAAACAGCAACATATTTCATGGTTTAAGCCATCAGTGGGCGAAAAACTTTACAATCGTATGAATAATATTACTTTTCCCTATTAACCTTTGCTTATATTTGTAGTAATTTGTTTGGATTATTTATGTATTTGTTATCATAAAATATTATTGCAATTAATTAATTCAAACCAGAAGGGGACTAAATAACTTTTAGATCATGTAAGTTTAATTAACAATGACCAAATTCAACAGATGCTTTCCTCTTCTGTCACGGAATGTTGAAAGTTTTAAATCGTTCTTCGCTATTGAACGTTGAAGTAATATAAATAAATACTTAAATAAGCCGCAGTTTTACAAATATTCCCAATTAATTACAGTTAATTTAACTCTGATTGCTATGTAATATAAATCATTCGAACTATAATTGAACTAAAAATTCATACTATGTCTTAGTATTATTCAACTTTTTCTTTTATCATATCAGATAGATTGAAATTTGTAAGAAGAATAGATGGAATTCTTGAAATAAGAAAAGGTCAATTATTTATCTTTACATCATTAAGAGTATACAACAAAATTGTAGACAAAAAAAGAAAAGAGCTGGTAATAAACGATAATGATAAGGATTCATAATAAATATTGCAAAATTAATTGATAGCTATTTAGCAAAAAGCGAAAGAAAGAAGAAAGCTTTTATCAGAACATTTGAAAGTGTTATCAGTTGAGGTGAGATTTCATAACATTTCCCGGATTTCATAAGTGAAAATAAAGCACAAAGAAGGAGGAGGAGACGATGGATAACGAGAGAATGTTGAAGTGATTATGGGATTGTTAGATACTCTATTACTACATAAAACACTAAAGCTTCATTAGTAAATCTTAAGCTATGTAATCCTGGGATACTTACATATTATCAGGTATCAATAATGTATCGAATAGTTTTTGCTTACATCGATTTCTTAAAACTAATTATTCATTTAATCAACAACTTTTAGGCACCGAAGATAACAATTAAGTTTGCTTGAGGCTTTTACGAAAGATATATTACTTCTACTTCGATACTGCTTTATCTTATCATATTCCAATTGTAATGATATGATCAATTTCATAGAAGTTCGTTTTCACTTCAGTGCTCGAAATTGTGTAATGAAAGTAAGCCGTATCGATCGGCAAATCAAAATATCAATATATGTAATTATTTAATAAGTATCGTTAACTTGCAGCATCAAGTTTACAGCTTGCATTTCTGTTAATTAATGAAAAGTGTGAGATTATATGCAAACATGTACTAATTTATTTTATACAGGTAAATATCACATTTATGTGTATATATGGCCAAGCATTATACAATACTTGATTCAAGGAATCCATTTAGTCCTCTTGTCTTTTGGGAGAATATTGATATGCAAGTCAATCAACATATTTGGTCATTTTGGGAATAATGGCTACACATCGATTATAGCCATGAATCTTACAAAAGAAGCCCACAAAGTAGAATATTAGGGTTTTTCTACGTGAATGAATCAGATGATGATTAGAGATATTTTACAAATTGGAATGCTAGTGAACTTGAAATTTGTCTCAAATATACTTTTTCTATTTATCTTGAATGATCTTCGTTCTATAATTTATAAGAAAATTTTTCCAAAATTTCAGCTAAGCTATCCATCGTGTAAATGTTTGAACAATGGCTTGCAGAGTGTTAATATAAATATAGGATAGTTATTAGCTGTTGGTTTCGATCATGGATTACAAGACTGGAATTATTTCCAGAAAGGTAAAGATGTACAACAAATATCTCTATTTCAACGAAATCTGTTCCAAAAAAACTATACTGAAGGTTGGGATCAAATGAAGGTTTGGAACAATTAATTAACTTTCTATGCGAAGTATGAGAAACTACTATCGAAAAACATTTGGAAATTCTGTTTAAGATAAAACTGGAGAAAGTGGTATGATATTAGGCAGACCAATTCGCTTGTTGAATCCTTCGAAGTAAAAGGTATTAGCAAGCAACCTCGAAGCTTCTGTGAAAATAGCTCTAAATGTCACTAACCATCAATCAAATTCTCACTACTGCCTTCCCCTTCTCTTTTCCTTCTGATTTGATCAGCCTTTTTCTGCAATTCCCTATGGAACGCATTGGTGTCATCGTTTTGAACATCTTTTCATGGTCTTTTTTCTATTACTGACCATAAAAAGGAATCAAACTACTGCATACTGAACTTCTTTACCAACACAAGGTAGAGTATCCCCAGGACTGTATAGCTTAAGATCACTTCCGCAGTGCTACCACTGCACGCATCAAATAATAAGATTTCACAGAGATGAGCAACCTCCTGTGCCGCACTCCTTATTCTTAAAGAAACACGGAATAGAAGCAATCACCGCGAAGAAACGTGATGTAAAACAAGCAGGAAAACTCCAAAGTGTCATCAGTCTCTATTCTAATATCATGTTCTCTATACTGGTAATATGGCCGAAGTGCCACATTCCAATTCCTAATCATCAACTCTGCGAAAAGAAGCAAACAAATGATTTTTTATTCCTTTAAGAATTACCTGTGACTTTCAATAAATATCATTAAATAAAATAATGAAAAAAGACAAAATTTTATCGCTGAAGAATAAGGCAATGAGAAAATATGCGAAGAGCAAAAATTGCTGACAAATTTTTTCATACAACCAAACACAATCAAAGCCAATTCCAATGCTGCAAAGCGTAGCCACTGAATGTTCTCCTCGGATGGCGATAGTGGAAAACGACAAGTCATCAAAAAGAAATCAGTCTTCATTTCCAAAATTTTCTTGACCAAATTACTCATCTGCAAAATTCATTCCGTTATTTTTGGTTTATGTAGCAATGAAGTATATTCATAGCATAGCTATCTTATGATATGAAGAAACAATGTTGGTTCTATCTAAGAGACACTTCAAAGAGCTAATTCTAAGAGTCAGAAAGGAGTCCAAAATCGACATGAATATTCTTATGCACATTCTCTAAATTAATCAAAAACTAAATCTAAGCAACATCAAACTTACCAAAGTTTCGGTTTCAATATGATTGTCGTTTTGCATTGGTTTAGATCGGCTTTGAAAATATCTTTAGAACAAAATTTAGTAAGATGTGAAAGACGTTCTCGACGAGCCCTCCACCGTGAATATAGTACTAGTGGAACGTTCAATTCCAGACCAACACTCAAGTAACCTGCTTTGACATATTATAAAACCTGAAGAGCTCTTAACAAACTTAAAGCTGGGAAACACAACAATAAGATTAATAACAAGAAACTGTTAGATGTATCTTGACAATTCCTTCTGTGAAAACAAAATTTAAAAAATTCTGAAAATATACAAACAATTTCCACTGAGAAAATACACAAATTTTCCTAGCTTAATAGATAGAACTCTGACAAGAATGAAATGGATGTAAATTGATAAGAAAAAATTAAAGCCAAAGTGAGAATGAAAGGAAAAAAAGCTAAAAGTAGGCACTTTGAAAACAGTTAAAACTGAACGAGATCTCCGGATGAATACACATATAATTGTTATCATGTTCGATTTGAAAAAAGATCAAATTTGTAGAGCAAATTTATTGTTTGAGATGAGACAGCTGTAAGACCTAAATCTATCTCTCTAAAAAGATCTACTTTAAGTTACAGAAACTACAATTCCATTTCTCACAACAATACATGATATATAAGAGATCTAATGACGACGTTGTATTGTTTTCTCAAATCGTATTTCGAAGATCAATACCTATTTGTTTCGTATTAGTTTAAGTTTTCTTTGGTTTTTATTCAAATGGAACCCATAAACCGTGATATGTCGAAATCAATTTTCATTGTAACTAGGAAATACAATAACATAATCCAACATCCTGGGTCTCTCTTTTTTATAACAACTTAGTTCGACCGGAAAGCTTACCGCTGTTTCATCTCAAACAATAAATTCGCTCTATAAATAAGCCAATGCTGTTATAATTAATCCGTTTTTAAAATCATTCGTAATCTGAATTGCTTGCAAGCAATTCATTATAAAACAGCCTCTTTAAACAGATACTAAAGACTTAACCTAAAACTTTACTAATTTTCAAATACGACAAATGTCCCGACCTTGTCAGTTAGAATAATTGATTATAAATCAATTCCAAATCGACTCTACTTTAAAGAACAAAATTCTCATATATGAATCTGATCATAAAGCGGAAGATGTGTGTGTTCGCATATATATCAGCGAACTATATGAGATGTATAATTCAAAGCGAAATATCGCTCAGTTTGAACAGCTTGAGAGCTTGATCTTATGGAATGACGCATTCATATTTTTGGAAATAAATTAAAAATATATGGAAAATTAAATAATTGAATATATAAGATGGACAAAAAGATATACAATTTTAATAGTTACTGCAACATTTATACTAACTAAATAGTAAGAAAACTAAACTGAAAATTCATTCTGAACTAGTGCGGAAAGATTTCGATAATTTCCACTTATTTAAACCTATCGCTAAGGATTGGTTATATTTCTTCACTTTGAAAAGAATGTTGATTTTTCAAGTTGCACAAAGTCCCAAAGGGTCACAATACCTGTATAAATTTCAGAAACAATAGCAACCACCACTGCTTTCAACAGATTTCTCACTACATACGAAACATAGCTAAAATGAAAAAAAACTTTCGACAACTGATGAACCGCTCTTCTATCTGGAAAAGACCAGAAAGAAATCTGACAAACTAATAAGTTGATATAAACTTAAATTTTCTAAAGCTGAAGTCGTGACGTCCATCAAATATTATTGCACTGCTCAGTTCCAGATGAATTAACTTGAAAAGTCCACAATAAATTCATCTTTCTTCGAAAAAAAAATTTGCTAGTTTCAGTACCATAAACTATTCAAACTCTATTTGGTCGAAAGTACAATTTAGATTAACCAAAAGAAGATATACAAATTCGCAAGACAGAAGCAAAATCTCGACGATCCCGTCTCAAATTTCACCTCCCTCCTCACTTTCCTTTTCTCGGTCACTCTCCGTTTTCTTTCAATGTCACAAAGTATAAACTATGCAGAGACATAATTCTAGACTATTATACATCCCATGTATATATTATTAAAAAAAGAAAAAATAACATCAAATTTAAAAAAAGTTGAGAAAGAACGACTGAAGGCAACAACTGTAAATAAATAAACAATTAGCCGATAAAATGGTGATAAAATAACAGTCAATGCTTCGTCTCGGCTAGTGTAGGCGACGAATTATTGTGACAATAACCGATTGCAATTCGTGCGAATCGCGCACGCCGCAATATTTGCCTTCGATTTTTAGATGATTTTTTCTGTTTCTTGACACGTATCCTAATATCCTGACCTCGGTGACTAACACCGTTTTCCTCGTCCATTTTTAATAGTAACGATTCCAAGTCACCCTTTTTAATCGGTTTTACTGAAATGTCACGAACGGCACGGAACTGACCACAATTATTAATGTGTTCGTTTTCTAACCGGAAATAATTCCATATAAAGCGTCGAAACACTTCCAATGGAGCTGTTATACAGGTAAGTAAATCGGATTCCATTGTCCAAGCCTCACCAAGTGAAATATTAAGTACCCAGGACAACCGCAGTATGAAGTCTTCCACAATGGCACCGTAATAATACCATTTGCTGCCGTAAATCATTTCTTCGCGGAGAAAAGGTGAATCTTTCGGAGCCAATGGATCGACAAGACCCCAGTCCATGAAAATATCCCAGAGAAATGTATAAGCAAAGCTGAAAATATAGGATGCAATCCATGAGTAAAAGAATATATTTGTTGCAGTGGAGTCAGTTTTCTCAGCCCAGTGATTGAGAAATTTGAAAAAAACGACAAGGTAAGTCGTAGAATATTTACCAGCGTTGATGAGATGAGGACGTACATGGCCCGTATCGCGGAAACGTCGCAGGCATTGCATAAATCGAACTGTAGCCGGGAAGACCGATACCAGTATGCGGATTCCGGATGAACTAGTACACATGTCACGACCCGTATTGATATCAACGTAACCCCAAGGAATCGATTCGTTAGTCGTCATATTCACCGTTCGAGCCGAGAAAGTCCAATCGATGTAATCCACTTCCGTGGTGTAAAAACATATAAAATACTGGAAATCAAGAAAGCTCGTTACTAATGAATTCATTTGATCACCGAGCCAAAAATCGATGAATGTAACGTAGTGTAGCGGAGCAGTGAAACAATTGAAGCAATGTTTTAGAATCCAGAAACGACTATTTCTTTGAAAAATGCTATTCGGTTTCTTCAGCGGATTGAATATGTAGACGACACAAATAATCATTAAGAGCAGAGGAAAAAGAAAAGGTGGTAAATGAATGAGATGGCAATACAAATATCCCAATACACAAAGGGACCATAGCATACACATGAACGATGCAATTTGCATCACCGACTGATAAGTCAAGTGATTTCGTGGATCGACTTCGAAGATAAGTACATGGTTGACACCAGCTTCCGCCCACCCCCACATATTCAAACCACATAGCCAAAGTGCAATAAAAAGCAATAGTGGACCACGAAAAAGTCTAACAGCAACCCATTTCGGTTCAGTAGATCGTGACTCAGAAGCAAACCACGAGATTGCTATTGCTATACCGAGTACAATAAATGCTCCAAGGAAGAGACCTAAAGTAAAAGTAGTAGTAGCATGCTGTTTCTCACTTAATGGTGGTACTTTAAGTCGTTTCATACCAGCTTGTCGATTGCCACCCTCTAGATCATTGATTACATCTCGCTCCACATTATTGATCAGTGTCTCTACTTCACGGTTCAGAAAAAAAGACGATTTCTCCACTCTGCTAATCCGCCAATCTAAACCCCGCTCATTTTCAATCAATTTGTCATGTTTCTTCAAAATTTTCCGAAATCCAGTTGCATTCAATTGCTGATAATTCTGCAACAGAACTAGCGCTAAATAAAATTCGGAGAAGGCAAGTTTTAATTGTTGAGCTGTTTTTGCATGCTCTCTAGTGATATTTCGCGAGGAAATGCTATGCCGTTTGATTCGTTGTCGTAAGGGAGAGGAATCTGTGACGGATTGTGTTTCTCGATTTTCCAAGGTTTTCTTAAAGGCCATTAATTCGGTATTCAATTCATGGAATTTTCCTTGAGCTTCAGCTATTTTCTGACTATAGAATAAATTGATTTTAGTCAATTCTCGTTCACATTCCGCGAAAAATTTTTCATCCATCTGAGAAATGTACTGTTCGCGAGCTTCCAGTTCCGTCGGCAACCCTGCCATCACTTCATACAACATCGATTTCAGCGCCTCGTAATGAATATATTGCTTTCGCCATTCCGGAGTTAAGTGACTGGACAATTGTTCGCCGAATTTCATCGCTGAAACACAAAAAAAAAAGATAATACTTAGTAGTTGATGATCAATATTAACAATTCAATAACATAAAGAACTGCATCAGTTAAAAAATAATAGTAACAGTAATAGATACACTGAGTTCTTAAGAACCGCTCTTTCCAGCCTGTTCTCGGAGAATTCGTAAATTTTCGAGGTGTTTCATTATATCTCAGTAGCAAGCTCCATAAAACACTGTCCCCTAATTTTATGTATAAATAAAATGGAGAGACTAATTTAACATTTTGGAATGTATTAAAACAACGTAGTCTAATTTGGAAAATTTGGAACTTTATAATTCAGAATTAGTAAGCTATCAGTTAGTCTAGAAAGCTCTTTTCCATCCTAATTACGTATGAAATTCTTTTGAACGTTGTAATACGGCAGGAACACCATAAGGTCCAACTTAAGAGTTTTCTGGATGACGAAATTAACACTGTACATTGCAGCATTACCGGACTGTATTGTCACAATAAATTTACTAATAATAAAAGGATACAGAACTCCACACCGATGACTTTAAAAAATTTAAAAATAACTGAAAATAAAATACCGTTCGGACGACAACAAAAGTGGGTGAACATTTTTCTCGCTATGCCCTTCCATTTTCCATCAGCTCTCTTTTATCACCTCATTACAAAATTTCCACAGTCAAGAGTAGTTTGCAGCGCATATTTTTTCTAGCATATTGTTAAAAATACAAAGTAAATAGATCATTAAAAGAATAGCATACAAATTCTGCTTGTATGCCTTAGCACATAAAAAGAATCACTCTACCCCATTAAAAAACCATACTGAGTGCAAGAAACGCAGTTGAAAAAGATAGGAAATAGATTTGAGATTTTCAGAAGTGCATGACACAAGAATGTATGATAACCAAGACTGCAAATATAAAAGATGAAAATTATTTCTCTAACCACCAATCAAACTTGCTTCACTTTCTGGAACAACACCCCACTGCTAGAAAGACTATAACAGGTCTATTTTTGCTTAGATTCGTCCCTTTGCTTATTTCAGCCTTAAAAAAAAACCTTATTTTGTCCTAGAAATCTAGTAGTCTATCAAAACTACAGCTCACTTCTTGCTGAATTTATTTGGTAATATTGAAACACCAAATTTTGTCGTGCCACAACAGTAATATATCCTTAAATAAATTATTCGAATGGCTCTATTATCAGCAACATTCAAAAGATAAAGCGTTAGAAACAATGCAAGCTCCATTTAAATTGTAGGTATAAGCAATTAGCCAAAGTTTCGAATGAAGATATTTTCGTTGAGTAAACTTTTCCTTCCAGAAAAATCAAATATTCCGGTTCATCCATACGTCACTTCAAACAGAGGAGAGAAATGCGCTTAAGCAAAACATAAGATTACTTTTCACCCATAGGTCAACAACAAACAAACGGAGGAATAATATCTATCTGTTTATTCATCGAAAGCTTATAGTGGGTAAAGGAAGGTTTAGCAAGCTTTTAGAGACTCGTACGACCAAAATAACCATCAAATATGACAAGAACATTGCTGTGTAAAAAAAAAATTGGTCGATGCAAAATAAATTATAGTGAACTAACTTATCAATGCTAACGTGTTAATCGCTAAGAAAACAAAAAAAGCACCCAAAATCAATGTTACATATTAAGAGAAAAAATTACAAATATATATTCAATTGAAATACTGACATATATTCGATCGAAATACTGCTGCTTTTCTCACTTATCCATCTATATAAATCATGAATAGCACATAAACATTTTAAGATCTTAAATCACAAAATTTTCATAGGTAGCATTATATCAAAAGATTGATACCATTCAATTATTCTAACAATGTATTCTAATACCAATGCTAATCCATGATATTAATCCGCCGTGGATTGGCACTGATATTGGACTACAATGTTAGGATAGATATCTCTTCTGAAAAACTACTCAAAATATGAACATAATAAGCTGTTATTGTATTGAAAAATACATGATCAAAGAAATTTTTTTCGGCATATTGACTCCAAAAATATTTAACTGCTAATAAAACCAATCATGGAAGAAGCAAAATCGAAATTTGTGTGACCTTTCCAAGGCGATTTAAATGCCCTTTTAAGTTGCTACTTCTTCAAAAATCATATTTTAATTTTCAAAATAATTTATTTGAAAATAAATTTGAGAGAAATAAAATTCCCGAAAATCAGAAACGAGCTTGTTTGGATCATGAAATCTGGAATTTTCAGCAACTAATTGCAAAGAATCATCCTTTTACGAGTAAAAAAAAATGAAAGCAGACAAAACACATTGCACAAGGCTATAATTTATCCCAAACACGATTCTGTGAAGTAGTAAACGTAAATGAAGCATTATAAATTTTGTTTTTTGTTCTATGGATTTAAGAATCCATTTACACCTTCTACGCCGCCTATTTGACCGCTTTTTTGAGTATGTCGGATTAACAACACCAAACTCCTAATTATAAAGTTTCAAAAAGAAGAATTATATCTGCTGCACTCCAAAAGATAAAAATTTATAATCATTAAACTAAATTTCCCAGCAGAAAGCTTTACCACCGCGGACACAAAAAAACTCAAGGATCTTTCAAAAGCTTTAAAAAAACTCGCAGTATTTAAGGCTGTGCTTTATAGCATATTATAGTTTAAATCGAAATGGTTTAGATTTAAAATAATCGTATATGTTACAGAAAACAAAGACATACATGATTTTCTGCATGCCATAAGTATGATGTCTGATTTTGCAGTAACTGAACTAATAATCAAGTCTAGTAAACCTTAAAATTCTCGTATATCAAATAATGTATTGATTTATTAGGAAAGAATCTCGTATACCTGGCAATGTATTGATTTATTATTGCTAATATCCAGGCGAATGAGAAAATAAAAAATAAAAGCTCAATAGCTAACTATATTATATTTTATGCGCTGTGATGCTATACTATATATATATAAGATAGGAATGGAAAAAATTCAAAGACTATAAAAATTCAAAGAATACTTATCTAGGAAGAATTATTTCTCTAGAGCGTTTTTTTTCACAACAAAATTTATTAGCTAAAGAAGACCCATATCATTAATTTAACTAGATAATGAATGCTCTCTACCTTCAATCGTAAAAGTTTGAAAATCTTGGAGTTACACTAAGTTTCATCTATTTTATATCCATTCCATTTCACTTTCATACCATCATTAGTACTTCATTCTAGTTCCATCAAGAAAGGACAAAATTTTGCTATAAAAAAAAAGGAAAAAGGATGCATAGGATCTAGAACGGTCACTGTTCCTGTAACATTCAATAATTATTGATGTAAGCAAAAGAAGAGGCACTGAACAGGGATAAGCTGAAGCAGCTAAGTTATTTATATTTTTACATGTGTATAAATATGAAGCCGACATTATTATCATAGAAAAGAAAATGGCGCAAGGAAAAAAATACTGCTTTTCTTGTTTAGTTCCAGAAATGGAAGACAAAAGAGTTCACAACCGTTCGTCACCGCCACCCAAGTCGACAAGAAGTGAGACTTTAGTTGTACACGTTGACAACGCCGTTGCAACATTAGTTGTTGTGGCGTAACTGGAATGCGGTACGCAAATTTTACACAATGTCATGGTGACAAACGGCACACACACAATCGTTACAGCGACAGCGCTTGTAGCCACCGTACATGCTGCAATCATATCAGCCGGCCCCATTTGGTTCCTGGAATAAAATCCATACTATGATCTAGGGTAGCTAAACCGAGGCTTTGGACTCACACTAAAAAATTCCAGTTTTTTGTCACCCATCCCACATACTGAAAAATTGAAATTCCCATATACTTTAAATCGAGGTATCAGAAGACCACCTTATCATCTTATAAAACTTCGGAATTTAGCACAAATACATTCAGAGAAATCTAAATGACTTGCAAAACATTTGAAGGACTCAAAAAGAAAAAAAATAAAGAGCGTTAGATGAACCGAAGTGTGCCTAACGCCTTGTACGGCTTGCCAAACTCGAAAAAGGAAAAAATGGACAAAAATAAAATCAATTCTAATTCTCCGAATAAATTAGAAGAACTAATAATACAGATGTACACTTCCCAACGTACTATCCGACACGATTACTACTAAAAGCTTAGTGCCGTTTCCACTGAGCTTTCAGTAATAGTGATCACACATGACTTTACGATAGATATTATTCATCATGACTTCTCTAACAAACAACAAGATGCGATGCTATTTTCTTTTCGTCACAATCTTTTTAATTTTGGATTACTTTCCCGATCAAATTCCTTTCAAGAATGGAGTTGAATTAAGGTGATATTTCTATCTTTACTATCATAAATCTCCTTCTTAAAAAAAATGAAACGAATTCCTGATAACAAGTAAAATAAATGCAATGATCGCCGCATGTAGAAAAATCTGTATCTTTCAGATTTCAAATATATTACTATCTTACTTAACATTGGTAACTCTATTCGTCTCTCGCTTTCCTTTCGCTTCTCCTCATAATTTTATTATTTTATAATTAAGAGGAAGCATTTCAAATAACTCGATCGCTGAAATACCGGTTAATCATGTGATGGGAGAAAATAATTACCTCAACAAACTGTGCAGCCAACTACAATGTTGTCAATGAAATACTTCAGGATTGAATATTCGTAACCCACGACAACAGTGATGCTGTCTTCAGCGTTGCCCCAAACCCATACTTTTCATACCAAATAAAATCTGAGTACTGTAACTTGCTGCGTCCTGCAAATTTTGCCTTTGTAAATATCAACATTCAATATATTTCTGTCAAATCGAAACTTCTGCATTATTGCATTAAGTTTAGCTAACTAAAATACAAACAGGATATATTGGAGGGATCCGAACATACGTTTGATTGTTTCTAGGAGAAAATACAATAGTGAGGATTCACAAATTTCAATAATTGTCGACACAAGCTCTACTTTCTTTATATTGCAAGGAAAAACAGATAACTAACAATGGTGTTTGGTAGAATGTGCCGGCGACGATTTATGAATCATCTCTGTCGATTAAAGATCATCGATCATATGGGAAAACCTTTTTTGCTTTCCAGCCCTTAAATATAGTTTAGTTCTTATCTCAAGCTTCCTTTAATAATGAGACGATACGCTATACGTGAATCTTTCCGGATTGAATGATTCAGTCTCAGAACCGGAAACACTGGTTGGTTCTGAAAATAAAAATGGAAGGATTTTGTGTTTCCCCAGATGCTGTACATCGGATGCTGACAAAAATAAAACATGTTAGTGGTTTAGCTATTTTTCTTGATTCAAATTATATGAATAGACTTATTATAGTTACAGTATTTTCATTACACCGTTGCTCTCATCCCCCATATCACATCTTGCAGCAAGAGGGAAAAATTAGTCCCAAGGACTCACACTTGTAGCCAAAAAGTACTTTACATTCGCTTAATTTGAATTACATCTCGTCCTTTTTCCATCAAGATTCCCATCTTCTTTCTCCTTTTCATATTACCTACTCAGTGACTTAATATACCAGTAAAATTTCACAATACCCTTTAGCCAAGTAATGTTTCAGGCCACTTATTCTATCCAACGACCATCCACTTGCCTTCCGCGAAGCCCACCCAACCACTCACCCACTCATTCCGTCACACCGATCTTATCAGGAAATTTGCTGCACTTTAGCTGCAGCAGACGTTTGAGTCTTGAAGTAATTGTGTTAGGGAACAATTTCTGTAGGATATTTTTTTTCGGTAGAGATTAGGCTTGCAATAAGTTTGCAGGTTTCGGTTAAGTGATTTCCGGATGAGTTGAGTGGATGAAGATGGACATTTGGGGAATCAGCTGCTTCGGGATATTTTTCCGAATTCATTTATTTCTGATTTAGAGACACTGAAAAATAATTTGATCCCGTTTGTCGTCAAAAACTTTTCATTAAACACAATTGCTCTGTGTCCATGGAGAGTGATGAATGGGTTCCAGTCGTCTGGGTTTCCCATTCTGACGGGTTAATCGTGATTTCCTGCCTTACGAACATATATATTTCATAGTTGTTTCGATTGGAAGGTAATTCCCATGTAACAAATCGTATCCAAAATTCGTGGATTTAATGCAATATTTCAATGAGTTGTAGCAAATGCTTTTTGAGATTCAAAAGAAGAGAGAGTCTTCAATGAGAATACTGTTAGAATAAAGCTCCCACCATTGAGGCGGTTATTGATTGCTGCATTTTAAACGTAAGCCTTAGACCACCATGATTAGCAGACTAGAAAGGATTATGGTTTTAGCTGCTAAACTATTTTCCATTGTTTTCAGTTTAATCAAGATTATGTGTTACGAATTGTCTTCGGTTTCTTAATTTCGCGTCTAACCTTTGTCGATACTGATTTGATTTTGAAATCGTTGAATTTCAGCATTGAAAGCTCAATTCCGAGGAGGCCGTATTTTGAAATAGAAAAGTGAAGGAAGGGAAAAGTAAGATGCCTCCAAATTTTTTTCAAAAACCCGAAACGGCACTCAAACGTGCTCATGAACTTATTTCTGTTGGCAAGGAGATGGATGCATTAGAAACGCTCCACGATACCATAAAGGTAAGCTACTTTTTCCAAATTATTTTAGATTGCTGTAGAGTTCATTGCTCATGGATGCACTCAAACTATAATCCTTATTCATGACAAATTGAACACATGGATACATTTTGAAGTGCGAAACAAATGAATTGGTTAATCAAAAATGTGGTATTAATGATTACCATATTTTCAAGCACCAATTTACAAATATTTTTCCATTTTGCTGGCAAATTTTTGGAGAATCAAGCAGTGCTGTGTTTACTATGCTTTTAGACCCACAATATAGATCTACAATGCTTTTTTGATTTCAACAATGTTTGCCCTATTCGTGATATCTGGAAAAAAAGGATCGTTTGTTGGTTTATCAACGCTCTTTCTTTTCTGGCCTTGCAGCAGTATAGAGCCAATTGTTCTAAAAATGGAACGCAATAGTTTTCCACTTTTATAATTACATGTCCTTCTAGTCGAAACGTCACAAGCAATGGACGAAAACACACGAAGCAATTATGTTGAAGCATATGGAACTTTGTGTTTCATTACGACGTCCACATGTGGCCAAAGATGCTCTTTTTCAATATAAAACACTTACTCAACAGGTCTTTTGTAATTTCTAAGGGCATTTTTATTGTGTTCTTTTAGTTTTCAGTGTGCTTTAGATGAAATATTTTTCAAAGTAAAAGTTCTAGTCTGTCCGTTCTAAAACTATCACAGTTGACTTCTGTTGTTCATTAGTCACCATCCATTAAAAGCTTCCAGAAAGTTGACAACAGTTTTTTCCCATGTTAGGAAATTTAAAAGTCATATTTTGTTGAAAGTTCTTTAGGTTGCCATTAAATCTCTTGAAACAGTTATACAACGGTTTCTGGAGCTTGCACAGCAGAAAACAGAAGAAGCGCAGAAGACTTCCATTGAGAAAGTTGAAGAAATTGATGATTTGGATCAAGCCGATGCTCCTGAAAAGTATGTTTTCTTCAGTATTTTATATAT